GGACCCTGCGGTGTCTGGAATCACATAAAAGCAATGTCATAATGACCTCTTGGGTCCCTTTTATTCCTCCCTGAAACTATCATTAGACATTAAGTTCACGGACCTCTATCACCCTAGCATGTTTTTAATAGACCCTTAGGGTATGCAGTCTCTTGCTGTCTTATCTCATTTCATTAATTACATTTCATGATCACAGAGGGTCAGGAAGCAGAGGAGGAACCAGCTCCAATTTCAGGGTGCAGCAGTGATCTCAGACATGCTCAAGCAAGGTGATGGTAAAAATTCAATTCAGCAGTCAGCTGTGATGCACAAATGGCTCCCAGGGATGGGGTAAGGATGAGCCGAGTACAGGAGCAGCTATAAAATGACACAAAGCCATCTTTCCATGTGGGGCAGCACGGTGTGATCCAGGCAGTGACCGGCTGGAGCTCAGTGCCACTAAGGGTGGGGAAACATAGCAAAATATAGAGACTTTTCGGACAATTTTGAACTAAAACATATAGATTTTTGCATTCTCAAAGTTGGTTTGTCCAGTGCTGTAAGGCTGGGGTGAATAAAAAGTGGACCCCTTGAGGACTCTTGCCAAGAAGACTAAGACCTCATCTATTTGGCAACTTCAACTACTGAGGAAACACAGGTAAGATAAGTGACCAAAAGGGGCTCTGAGCAGAGTCTACAATGAAATAAACTCTATGCCCCAAGGCTCACTGTCTGTTATTTGGAAGAGCACACCTCACGAAGACTCTTTCCTCTTGCTTTAGGATGGAGAGTAAAGAACTTGATTATTTGATTTCCTGGTGTGCGTAGATCAGTTTTAAAAATGGAGTCTATTTCCCCAGCTCTTGAATCTGATCTGAGATTGTGACTTGCTTTAGTCAATAAAATGCAGCACAAGTGTCAGAGTGCCACTTCCAAGCCTCAAGAAGCTTTGCATGCTTCTGCTCTCTCTCTTGGAATCCTACTATCCCCAGGTGAACAAGGTCAAACTAGCCTGCTGGAGGATGGGAGACCATGAGAAGGACTGCCCAATGGTCCCAGCTGAGGTCATCCTAAACCAGCTGAACCAAGCATGTGAGAGACCCCAGGCAAGATCAGTAGAGCAGCCAAACCAATCCATGGAGGCACGCAGACAAGAGGGTGGCCCAGTGGACACAGACATGTGCACATAGACGTGTGAGCACACAGACTGGCACATAAACATGTGACCAGTAGTAAATGCATATTGTTTGAAGACACTCAGTTTTCAGGCTTTTTTTTAGGCGGTTTGTTACTCAGCAATAGCTAACTGATACACCTGGCCTTGTACAGGTTGGAAACGGGAGTTGTTTAGCGAGGAAGAAGGGCTACTGGAGATAAGTCACGTTGACGGGAACAAGAAGACAAAGCAGCAACTAAAAAGCATAAACAGAGACTCAAAGAACATAATGGTCTGGGGCCGTTTAGGGGAAGGGAAGCATTTTGTGGCACTTGATTCTGATCACTGACTGAGTTTTAAAGCACAAAATAAGAACACTGACCCTGAGTTATCCAGAAAACTTAACTGAAATGCAGTGTCCTTTCTTTAAGAAGGCAAGGGCATGTTTAAGAAATATTTTCATTCAACACAGTTAAAATGAAAAGCTTAAGGTGTTAAGCATTATTCATCTGGAAAATTCATCTGTGTGTGCAGGGACCATACTTTCTGAAGCAAAAATTGGGTGACATTTCAGACAGACTTTTGTGCTGCTTCCAGGAAATGAAGTTTGGTTGCCATGATGTTATAATTTTGGGGACATTTGACCACTCATAGGGACAATGAGACAAAATAGGTGAAATCAGGATGACCCAAGCAAGTCTGTGCAGAAGAGCCAACCTCTTCACATACGGCCCCTCCTTCCTCAAAGGTGCCGGGTTAATGGTGCCATAGGAGGCACCCAGGGGAGACACACAGATTGCAGGCTGCAGGGCCAGCCTTCGGCAGCCTGCGGGGCTCTCTGTGCTGGAGACTGCAAAGAGAGAGGGTGGGAAGAATTGCACTAACACAGAGCTGCCATCTGCGGGGCCAGCCTCATTCCTTGGCCTGCCCGCTGCTCCTCTGGACACCACACACCTAGTTCATGCAATTCCGCTCCTTGCCAAAGCACCACACTGGAAAATAATAACAATCGTTCACATTCATTGAATGCGCTGTGTCAAGCACTGGATCAAGCTCTTGCCGTGGATTCCCCCGTGAACCCTATTAGTTAAGTACTACTGCTCTCTCCCCTTTCAAGAGGTGGAACAGAGGCAGAGAGAGGTGAAGCAAATTGCCCAAGGTCGCACAGTTAGAAAATGGCAGAGGCAGAATCCACACCCAGATGACTGGCTCCGCACCCACCCCCTAAATTGTTCTGTTCTGCTCCTTCCGTTTGCAAAGTTTCCTTTTTCTCTTCCCAGCTGGGTCTGGCTGCACCCTTTGGCCCAGCCTTGACTCTTGCCTTTTTTAGAACTGGACCTTTATGATCACCAGCCCTCCTGCCCTCTCCCCAATTTCAGTTCTCAGGGAACTAAGTGAAAAACGATGTGCACCTGTTCTCAAGGGGCTGCGGTCCTTTGCCTGATGGCCTCTGGCTAATTACCACCATCACCTGGAGCGGGCCCAGGGAACCCAGATCCGTCAAGGGGAAGTGGCGCCCACCTGAGATAGCTCAGTTGTCACCTCTGGCGAGCAGAGCAGTCGCACCCAAGGCCAGCTGCCAGTGCCACCTCCCTGTCTCCACCCCTGCAGAGCTGCTGACAGAGAGCAAGGCTCCAGGCTGCTTTATCTCCTGCTAACACCCGTCTCCTCTCCCTCCTCCTCTATCTGGGGGTTTCCTTGTGGCTTTAATGAAAAACCCTTGTGTCACATTGAAAAGTTGCCAGTTATTGCTGCTGGGAATAAAGTGCAGTCTCTGCTGGGTGGGGACTCGTGAAAGCTTCAAGCTGCGGAGAGAGGAGCGCAGGGCTGGCATGAATAATCTCTTCAGTGTGAGCAGCCCCTCAAGCATAATTAGATGATACCCCGTGGTAAACAAACCAACAATAGGCGCGTCCAGCTCCCCTCCCCCACCGTGGCTGTCTCCTTTCCCGCCTTGCACACCTGCACAGCTGGCCTCCCTCGTGCTGACTGGTTTGGGATCTTTCCTTATACCCCAAAGATAAGACCAAGCTGGGTGTCCCCTGTGAGGTGAGCTCTCAGGTCACTGTGGGTGGTGGGCAGTGGCTTCCCCAAATCCTCGGAGACCTGGTCAGTCCACCGCAGAGAATTCAAACTGCAGGTTCCTTGAGCTACTCGGAATCACTGAATCCAATTCCCTAGCACTACGGCTTGGGAATCTCCATTCTTAACCCCCTTGTTCACCTGGATGATCACGCTCAAAACCACTGACCCCAGCAGCCAGACCCAGGGAAAGACGCTCCCGCGTGCATGCTCTCCGAGGACTGCAAACTTTAAAGTGCCCTTGCAAGGCTAGCTCTGACCCTCACAGTATCCCAGGACAGCCATTTCTGTCCCTTTTTCACAGAGAAAGAAGCTTGTAATTCCTCACAGGCTATGACATCAATGGAATCAAGGTCCTCCCAGCTACCTCACTAACAAGCACTCTTCTGGGACAAAGGCAAGCACAGTGAGATCTAAAAAGCAACCTGAGAGCCTGTACTCAGGAAGCCCCGCATTATGATAATGGGGTGCGGTGGCTCCCCAGCCGCCAGGCTAAAACTTGTGACCCCAGAACACTCGCCTAGTTGGGAGCTGCAGCCACGGCAACGTTCTCAAGCACGTGCATTGGGGAAAATGGGAATATCAGTGATTCTCAACGGGGTCGAGTGTGTCCCCTCCTGGGGACATTTGGCAACGTCTGGAGACATTTTTGGTTGTCATAAACTGTGAGGTGGGGTTCTGGCACCTAGTGGGTAGAAGTCAGGGATGCTGCAAAACATCTTATCATGTACAGGGCAGCCTTCTGCAACAAACAAGTATTCGGCCCAGAATGTCCTGGAAGAGATACAAGATGCCATTAAAGAGATGAGCCCATATCCAGGGATGTCCTTGGCCACCTGAGGGCAAAGTGTGAATTCCGGTTTGGCGTTGGGTGTGGAGTTTTCTTTGCCTCAATCTGCTGTTATGTATCTAGAAAGAAGATGTGATGAACCCAGGGGCCAGCAGAGAAAGGCTTACAGGTTGAACACACAGCCAACCCTCTGTGTGAGGTGGGCTTAAAGGACCCACTTTACTGTTATAGCCAATAAACACTAAGACCCGGCTTAAGCCCTTGAGCTTTCAGATATTGGTCATTGCTTTACTAGTAGCATCTGGATGAATAAACCTTCAGCTTGGGGCTGCCTGCTCAGATCTATTCCATACAGACTCCCCAGGTGGTCGCCCCTCTTCACGGAGAGTCCAAACACAGACCGTTTCGTTGACAAAATTGAGTTTCCCACGAGTGAAAAAGGTGGAACGAGCTCCTGGTGCAGATTGTAGCACAAATGCCCTGGCGGAAGCCAGGCTGGAGGTCCCAAACATTTTCTTTACAGTTGATTCCATGCAGTTGGCTGGTTGATGGTGTGTGGAGGTGGAATGCCTCCTGATGGACCAGTCCCCTCCTGTTTGCGCCACCAGCACCTCAAAGGGCATACGTAATTTCTTTCCCCTTATAAAGTGAATCTGGGCATTTTATAGCCGAAAAGGGAGCAATTCCATTTGAATTAATCAAGAGGCTGAAGGTAAAAGTGCATTAGGTAGCTTTTAAGGACGTTCTTCCTTGATTGACAAGGTCCCTCGGCCACCCCCCTCAAAAGCTTTAGCAACAGAACATTTCTTGACATGACTCAGGGGAGGTCTGCTATCTTAGCTGTACTCACTCAGGGTCTGTGGTTTTTTCACCCATCAGTTTAAGAAATGACTGTGGTCTGCCTCTTGGTACACACTTGTTAGCCATAACACTGTAACATTTCTCCTTTGTTACATTAGAAGAAAGTAGTAATATTATTAAGGGGAAACATACCTTTCAGCCACTTTGGACATTTTTAAACGATGCCTGTCAATCTGTGCATTCAAAAATTTTATCTGGGGAAAGGCAGAACAGAAGTGTTAAGACCAAACTGGAATTTTTTCCCCCCTTCACCCCAGGAACCCAAAACCCGTATTTCTACCAAGATCCAAACACCTCCTCTGGACAGACTTCTCCAGCCCTCCAACTCGACACTCCAGCAACCATTTTGCCCTTTTGGAAATTCCTACCCCACTAAGAAACACACTCTACAATTTAGCCTACATCACATATTCTCCTGTGTTGTGTTACAGCTTAAGTTTTTTGTTTTTCTTAAATAGATCTTTATTGGAGTATAATTACTTCACAATACTGTGTTTCTGTTCTACAATAAAGTGAATCAGCCATATGCATACATAGATCCCCGTATCTCTTCCCTCTTGCGTCTCCCTCCCTCCCACCTTCCCTATCCCACCCCTCTAGGTGGTCGCAAAGCACCGAGCTGATCTCCCTGTGCTATGCTGCTGCTTCCCACTAGCTATCTATTTTACATTTGGTAGCGTATATATGTCCATGCCACTCTCTCACTTTGCCCCAGCTTCCCCCTCCCCCCACCCCGTGTCCTCAAGTCCATTCTCTATGTCTACGACTTTATTCCTGCCCTGCCACTAGGTTCATCAGTACCATTTTTTTTTTTTTTAGATTCCATATATATGTGTTAGCATACAGCATTTCTTTCTTTCTTTCTGACTTACTTCACTCTGTATGACAGACTCTAGGTCCATCCACCTCATTACAAATAACTCAATTTCGTTTCTTTTTATGGCTGAGTAATATTCCATTGCATATATATGCCACATCTTCTTTACCCAGAAGTGAATGAAAACTTAAATATAGTATATATTCTACAAAGCTTAGCAACAGCATGGAGGTAACACACACACCATAAGGATCTGGTTTGGCTAATCTCCAGTGATCTCCTACCCAGCTTTCACACCTACCTCATGCCCATGTGCTTGGTGTACTTAACTGGCACTGAGTAGCTATTTTCCATACATCTGTTTCCTTTTCCCCACTCAATAATAAAGTTGTCAAGGGAAGGCACCTCACAGTTTATGCCTTTGGGTACCCCCTAGAAGTCAGTAAAGCATAATGTAAAGTCAAGTCACTTCATTACCAGTGAACCCCTGGAAAGCAGTAATGTAATTAGGCATTGTCTGTGACCTGGGTTGACCAGTTAACTCCTCATCATGAAGGAAGATAACATGGAACCAAATAATGCTGAAATGGCATTGTGGGTAGGGTTTGCTTTATCTGTCAACCTTCATTTTGAATCAGAGCAATAAAGTTGGTGGTCCTGAGCTGGCTCACTCTGGAAGTGCAATACAATTTTAAGGACGCTGTGACACGAGTCCCTCCTGCCTCCAGCTCCCACAGCATCTTGGGGGAAACCCGACTACAGCAGTCAGCCCATGGTGTTGGGGTAACTCATTTATGTCCTTTTCTAGTAACTGCTGAGTAACTTGGTGGAGAATTTGTCTTCTCGAGGCTCCGTGAATTATTCACACACAGTGCCCAAAGGTTCAAGTCACCCACAGCTGGGTTCCACTGTGCTTTCCAGGAACTCAAAGCTCACTCAGCCTCCAGAGGTGGACATTCAAAAGGTTTTCAGGCTGGCCACATCTCCTCCTTAGAGTGCAGTAGCACATTCATTCACCTGTTTCCGGATGTCCTCTTTTGTAGTTTTCCTGATTGGCTGACTGGGGACGTGCACTGGGCTTTGCGACTGGGATTCTTCAGTCACGCCGTACACTGACTAGAGAAGAAACAAGAATATTGAATCATGCACCCTCAGAGTTGAAGGGGGTCCAAAGGGTCAGCTAGCTCAAGCGCTCATCTGATGCTTCCAATCCCCTCCATGACATCCTGACAATAAGTGAGTGGCCTCTGCTTGAAATTCTCCAATAATGGGAACTCTGCCTCTTGAGGCAGCTGGTCCATCTTTGAGTTACCACTATTAGAAAATCCTTCCTTTCATTGAGCTTAAATGGTCTCCTTGTGTATCAGTGTTTCTCCAAATACAGTCCATAGACCATCTGCAAAGAGTTATCTTGGGTACTCGGTAAACAGGTACATTGCCGAGTTCTACCCAAGACCTCCTGAATCGGAATCTTCATGGGTGGGGTTCGGGAACCTGCACTTTCATCAAATGCCCCAGGTGATTCTGAGACACAGGAAAGTTCAGGAACAATTCCTGAAGATTATGCAGGAAGATAAAGATCCCCTCTAGATTTTCTGTTTGTCAGCAGATGACATGCCTGTCTGGTACAAACTTGAGATGGCAGGGTTTCCAATTTTTTCCTTTTAAACTGACCAGTTTTCTGGACACAGATTTTCCACTTGCCCACAGCTATAGCTACTTTTTAATCTGTTCCTTTTGTTAGAGACAGAGTAAAGACAATCTTTGTTCTGGGAAAGAAATAAAACACTGAAGGGTGTGCAATTTATAGCTGAAATCTATAAAATCAAGAAAGGCTCAGGGTGCATGTGGGCTCCATAAAATTCTGGAATATTAGAATTAGGGGGCCTTTAAAGACTAAATGGGGACATTTTAAGACTAACATTAAAGTATAATACAGTGGGCATCAATATCTCAAAGAAGAACAAAATATATAAGTAAATTCAAGAAGCTGATATATATGTCATGTCACATATATATTGATAGAGGAGAGAGAGCCACTGCCCCTTCCAGTATAGTGAAACACAAATGATCACTGGCTCATTCACAGTTGGGTGAGATGGTGATTTGACTTTGGGAGATCTAGCTATACTAAAAGACTTGCATTTGTGTCAAAGTACCAAGCTGGCCTTCGCCTGTGGTGTTGCCCTACTTTTTGTTCCTTATGTTTCCCTTCCTCTCTGCTGTCTCCCCAGAGCCAACTGCTACTTACCCTTTAGACCTCTGCACCCTCGAGCCTGCTATGGAAACCCTTGGGAAGCCCCCGGTCTGGGGCACCCTCCTGGTCTTCCTGAACCATCCTGTACTTCCCACCGTTGCCTGCTGGCTTGCTTCATGCCTACCAGGCTGTGGGCTTTGTTAAGACTTGCCACTATATTTCCACAGCCAGAACGGTGCCAAGCACACGGCAGCCACTCCATAGATATTTGTAGAATGAATGATATGGTTTCAAAGGATGAAACGGGGAAGAACTACAAATAGTAAATTATTATTTGAACAGTACCGGAAATGGAAGGGTGATCCCAAGAATTTTTAATTCAGCTAAACTAGCGAACCTTTTTAACCTTTTGCGGGTTCTTCAAACGTCGACATTTTCTGATATCCATTTCTGTTGTGTTCACACAGCCTGGCTGAGAGAAAAAAATCATCATATAAATTACTAAGTGAACATCATACTTTCCAAGTTGGCTCAAGTGACACTATCAGAACCAATCTTTATCTTTTCCATTACAGATAATACATGACTACCCCCATTTTGCCATTTACAGTCTTTTTTTTTTACAAAGGTGCTTCACCTTCAGTATGTGTTCCTCCACAGAGTTCTCATATGAATTAAAACAGCTTACCTCATATTACCTAAGGATGATAAGTAGAGAGTACAGTGTACAGTTTATAAGCGTAAACTTATTATTTAAATTGGTGGATGGCTTCAGTCAGAGCCTTTGTTCTTTCATATACCTAACCATCTAAAACCACTCCACTATCAGGATAGGGAATTTTTTTTTTTTTGGTTTTGCTTTTAATCAGACTTGAGGAAGGCTGACATAGCTTATTCGTTTTAGTTCCATTTCATGAGGAAAATGTAAGACCTATTTTAGTAATATGAGATTAGAAATGCGTGAAACCTCATTATTCGTGGATTTTGTATTTGTGATTTTGCCTACGTGCTAAAATTTATTTATAACCCCCAAGTCAGGGCTTGTGGTGGCTTCATGGTCACTTGGGACGTGCGCAGAGCAGGAAACATGTTGAGTTGCCAGACCCGCGTGTTCCCGGTGAGGTGCCTTATTTCATCTCATGCTGCAAACAAGTGTCCTTTGCACAGTCTATTCAGCACCAGTTTTACACATTTTTGTGTTTTTGTTGGTGATTTTGCCCAAGCCCAGTGCTGATGTGCTGTCGAGCATTCCTAAGTGCAGGAAGGCTGGGACGTGCTTTATGGAGAAAATAGGTATGTTAGATAAGCTCCATCTAGGCGTGAGCTATAGCGCTCCTGGCTGCGAGTTCAATGCCAGTGATCAACAATATACATTAAATAAGGTGTCTTTAAACCGAAACACACTTCAAACAAGGTTATGCATTGATCAGTTGATGAAAATGTGACTGGAGGCTTGCAAGAACCTAACCCTGTATCTCTCCCAGGATAATGGTTCAGCATCCGCTAATTCAGTGCTCTCGGCGACTTCATAGAACATAACCACCGTAACAACAACGGTTGCATTTGAAAGAGAATATTCTAGAAGTTGGAATTGAATGACAGTAGAAATGGAAATTGCTTAACTTAGGACTGGAAACTTCAGGGCCCAAAGTTCCCCAGGTGGAATTCCCACAGCTCCCCATTTCCCATTCCATATTTTCATGGATGTATAATTTTTAAAAGGTGGAACTGACATATATTCCAGAAAATCTACTGAGATGATATGAATGAATGGCAAAACCAATTTCACAAAGCTTAGCAATTTTCTTAAAAGTGAGACGCCTGGTGGCTAAAGACAGTCTTTTCTTTTAAGCGAAGGAAGAGAGAAAACATAAAACTTAGAGAACTAAGCAGAGCTTCCTCACCACTGGCCTGTGGACGTCCCAAAAGGCTCGTTCTTGACTATCCAAAATTTTCCTCTCCGTCTTGTCCTTTTTCCGATCAATCCTGAAAGAGTGAAAAAGGGGAAATCAGAGGCTTTTAATTCTGTTTTTCCTCCATGACCCACGTGTCAGCTCTGTTCTCCCTTTTTTAGGAGCTTCATGTGCACAGGGCTCTTGGCACCTGTGTGGCCCCTGCTCTCTGCAGAGCTGTGCAATATGGGTGTATGGTTCCCTTGAGGAAGCCTCAAGAAGCCCACACATGGTAAGAGAGCTTGTTATCAGCTAGGTTGCAAATGACCAATTATGTGTAATGAACAGGGTGAGCCTAATGAGGGTTCAGGAATGCAGCTGTCCGTTTGAATTACTAAGATGTGGATTACTAAGAGCTGCATAAGTTGTTGACATGCCCCTCATCACAGTGGCTACTATTGCATATTCAGATTATGGGAAGGAATATAACCATAGGCTTGTAGTGTTTCATCCTCAAACTTGAAACTTTGCTTTAGATTCAGAATCAGTAGAAATGTCTTCAAAATGCTGCAGTTATGTGTTTTAAAAGTCACTTAAACCATCTGGCTTCCTAAAAGCAAAGTAATAACCCTCGTGTGTGACAAGATCCAGAAGGCAAACACCTCTGGCCTCAGCTGGGGGACGGACAAATTGCAAGACAGACAGACAGACAGATTCTTTATGTTGTGATCGCATAGATAAGAGTGTTTAAAAAAAAAAAAACAGCCTGTATTACTTCATATTATCTCTCTAAGTAAAAAGTAACTCGGATTAATTGCTTTGTAACTGCTGGTTCTTGGCTCTCTTGGGAGTACTTTCGTTTATTGGACTGACTGAAATAAAGTCATACTGTGATTTTTGTGAGAGTTACTGTGTACTTAAATGGCCCACAATTATAATGTAATCACAGAGTTCATCAAAAAAGTGAATCGAGAAATACCGTATATGTACAAAGTGGCACTTTTCCCTCCTTTTATAACATTCGATGCCGTGTGATCCCGAAAGTGTAGATCAGCCCTCCTCTTCACTTCCCGGAGGCGTCTGAGTGCACTGGCTCAATCCTGCCTCCTTCTCACCTAGTCACCCACCCTCCTGCTTTCTCCTTCCTCAGGGGCCAAGGCTCTTCCTGATGCAGCTCAGCATCCAGTGTCTGGTGTCCACCACCCTCGGGGGTTTCTGGGAGAACCGGGGTGGTGGGCAGGCCTGTGGATTCATGGGTGGGGAGTAGAGACTGCAGAGGGAGGGGGAGAGCGATGACACCATGAGGCCCACTGGACCCAGTGGCTGTACCTGTGATCAATGTCACCCACACTGCCCAGAGAGGGCACAGGGGGTCCTCTGAAGACCCACGGGGGCTGCTCAGGTGCAAGCGGTGCCCAGAGAAAAGGTACTCACCTCCTCCCAGCTCAGCACCCCTTTGCCACCCCTCCTCTGTCCCATTTCTTCCATTATCACTTGAAGCTAAATAAGAGCCCATTGCTAGAAAGGACAAGAGAGAACTGTACCTGAGCAAGTCCATTTCCCAGAATCAAAAGGATCTGGTTGATGACCATGTTTGTGGGGTGGGGGACATTTACAACCCACTTCTCCTGTTTCCTTAGAGAGGAAGAAATTTCCACTACACTCGCTGGGAAGGAAGAATATGGGAAAAACACTCCAACTTTCTCCTCCTTTCATCTCTTGTAGACTTTAACTTATTGGCAGATTTGAAAGAAGAAATTTAGAAAGCTGGGGCTTCCCTGGTAGCGCAGTGGTTAAGAATCCACCTGCCAACGCAGGGGACGAGGGTTCGAGCCCTAGACCAGGAAGATCCCACATGCCGCGAAGCAAGGAAGCCCATGCGCCACAACTACTGAGCCTGCGCTCTACAGCCCATGCTCCGCAACAAGAGAAGCCACCGCAATGAGAAGCCCGCGCACCGCAATGAAGAGTAGCCCCCGCTCGCCGCAACTACAGAAAGCCTGCGTGCAGCAGCGAAGACCCGACGCAGCCAAAATTAAATAAATTAAAAAAAAAAAGAAATTTAGAAAAAGCTGAGGTCGGTCCTTCTGGGCCCTGTGTGGGTCAGCCTGTTCTCAGGACACCTGTTCTCTGCGTGCAGTAAACTCACAGGGCTGGACTCTTCCCTGAGGTGGGGACAGCCCTGCAGATGCCCAGCTCTGCCCAGGATGTTTCATTCCAGGGTAAAGATCTGTGGTCACAGATCCAAAATCATGTCCTATAAGTAGTTCATCAGTAACAATCTGACATTTCAGACTCCAGATGTCTGACTTCTCTGCCTTAGTTTTGATTAGTTCTGAACCCCTCCCCCCGGGAGATACGGTGGAGGGGCCACTTGTTGGCCTGCCTAGAAACTCCAGTATGTTTTCCTATGAGGACGAAATCTCCAGACCAACAAGTAAAGTGGGTCTGATGGTTTCTAGTCTCTGAGCACAGAAGAAGGTTTGGAAATCTCCTTGGGAATTAGGTACATCTTCTTAGGACCAGAGTTCTACGTTTGGGAGGAACCCCATTGCCTGCTGAAACACACGCTTTGGGAATTGCTTTAGAGTGCCATGGGTGACAGAGATGCAACTTATCCATCCTGAACTTGATTTCTACTCAGTTGCTGTCATGAGAGAGACAGTGACTAACCATAGCTGGCTGGCCATGGAAGGAACCCCCACTCTCACACCACCTCTGATTTCCAGAGAGTGTTTCTCTCTTTGCAAAGGGTCTCTATTAAGTTCACCTACTTTACTTGTGCTTCTGCTTGCATAAAGATGAATTCCCACTTCCTTGCAAAGGCCCTCTGGAGTCTTGCTAAGTTTTCCTAATGAGAAATGAAAATCAACAAGAAGGCATTAATCATCGTAAGTTTGCGCATCGACAGCTATGCTTATTACAAGGCAGCCATCTATTTCGGTTACTCCCAACAAAACAGTAGGGCCCCACTTTAAATCCACTGGATGTGAACCCCATCTGACTTTGCACCAGACCCTGCTGTACGGAGCAGAACTATTAATATTCATTTACGCACCCATTAAGTCTGACGTCTCTGTGGTTCCCGATTCCTCTTTTCTTGTGTGTTTTACAAGAACACGACTCACACGGCACTTATAAAGGCCACTGAAGATAGGGAGAATTGGTCGTGGTTGTTCACGCAGGATTTAGGGAAGGCATGAGGGGTGTTTTTGCAACTGATTGCAAAACCAAGAATGGATGTCTCAAGACTTGTCTTCCAGCAAGCAGAGGGCTAGGAAGGTGGCAGGAAAGGACAACCCAGAGGACCTGGCATTAACAACTTGGAAAGTCCAGACTCAAAAGTGGGAAAGAAGGGAGTGTCTAGGTTTGTGATGGTCATGAAAGGAAAACCCCAAAACAAAAAGAAAGAAAAGGCATCCAGGGTCACATTTAGAGGAAGAGGGAAGAAGTCTTTTCTCAAAGCCTAGCAGCACAACAGGACGGTGGGGAGGGGCGTTTGACAGGTTCCCTAATGACCCGCCTAATCCTGATGGAATGCGAGGCGAGAGCCCACATTATGCTGTGTATTTTCATAGAGCTCATGCCAACACTAACTGATTACCTTCATTAGCAGATTATTAACATGAAAGGAGCTTCGGGTGAAGACCAACACACGTGAACTCAGTTATTACCAAGGCTTGCTGTACGAGTACCTCAAAAAAACTGTCCCTTAGATTTTCCCACTGTTCACAGGAAGCAAAGCTGGTAAAGCCTGAATGTCAGTCAACTGGGGAGCAGCCACATAAATGATGACACAGTCATACCATGGAATACTAGGCAGCCATGAAAAGTGAGAATGTAGATGATTATTACTGATATGGAAAGATTCTCAACATCCTTACAGTATATGACTGGAAAAAGAAGCAGCTTACACTATAATGTTTGTGGTGTGATTCAAGTTTTCTTGTTAGAAAAAAATATGTATGTATAGAAAAAAGCTTAGGAGAGAAGGATTGCAGGCTATTTTCTCTCCTTTCTTTGCTGTTTGAATTGTTTTTACAAAGGGACGATGTAATCAGAAAAAATTAATAAAATTACTGAATTTTGAAAACAAAATGTCTTTTTAGTTTCTAACCACTTTTAGACAGAACTTCAACCTGAAAGAACATCTGAACACCATATTCTTTACAGATACCAAAGCAGAATATTGTCGGGTAAGAGAAGAGAAAACAGAATAAAATATGTCAGGAGTTGGTGCTGTCTTGTTTCCGTTTAGGAGCTTTTTTAAACAAGGGAACTACAGGGAAGGGAGACACGGGATGGAGGGGCCACATGCTTCTGCCGTCTGGGTTGTTTCTGTAGGTCATATTCAGGAAGTGATGTAGTCATGCCAAAGTTAAAGCACTTTGCACTGTGCGCACAAAGAGTCCGACAGCAGTCTTCTAGAAGAGGGGTGATTGCTGGTGCACGAGGGCAGATAGGGCAGGGACTGGGTGCCTAAGATGCTCAGAGCCACAGAACCGCCATGCTAGGGATGCTGGGGAAAATTAGAACGTTCCAACAGATTTATGTTTCACGGCTCCCTTGGATAAGCAAACTTTAGCCAGGTCCTAACACTCCCAGTAAACTCTTGCACTGCAACCTGCACCGCCCATTCACAGGTCCTGTGATGCCAGTGGGATCAAAGAGGGTGGAGCGCCATGCACCGGTCCTGCTCTCTGATGGCATGCACATTCCCCTTGGGCTGCAGAGAGGGGAACGGTGGCTCAGTGCATTGGTGGGCTTGGGTGTAGGTAACCAAGGGTGACAAGGTTTGGTAGAGTGGGGCCTCACGCTTGGTTTGGAAGACTGAGACAGCAAAAGTGGGAGGGACATTGGGGAGGTGGGTGGATCTGAGGAGCTGTTCATGCTGGATTATCCAGGGGAGGATTCTTCACTGCCCCTAACGTTGCCCCTCCTCCTAGCTGCCAGCTCTTCAGTCATTCCATGGCTCAGCAACACCTCCTCTGGAGGGTATAAGAAAAGTTGGCCAGTATCCTAGGTTTTCTGTGACCCATACAAAGTGTGGTTTCAGGGGAAGAGTCTGCAACCCCAAATTTTAAATATTTAAAACATTATCTGTGAATCTTCAAGTTCTCTGCACCTTGGCTCTGTTAAATGGGAATGGATATGAGTGTGGCTGGGTCTCCAATTTCTGTAAGAAATCACACCTTATAAAGAAGGTGGAGGTGGAGGAAAGCTGGGAGAGTATATTGCCATCCGGCATACATCTTATCTTCTGGATTGGATTTGGTCCTTAGATTTTGCATTTACTGCCAAGCACAGGTGAATCGGGTATGAAGATGCAATTAAAAAAAAAACGATCATATATTAAACGAAAAAATTATCATACAATAAATGTGTTCTTTTCTTTTCGTGTATAGTACTATACATTTTAACACATGTATATATTCACGTAACCACCACCACAATCGGAATACAGAATGGTTCCACCACCCCCCAAAACTCCCTCCTGGAATCTCTTTATAGCTGCATCCTGGAAGCCACTGATCTGTTTTCCCTCGTGATAGTTTTGTATTTACAAAAGTGTCACATAAATGGAATCACACAGTTTGAAATCTTTTGAGATTGGCTTCTTTCCCTCAACATAATGTCTCTGATACTCATCCAAGTGGTTAGATTAATAGTTTATTCCTTTTCACTGAAGAGCAGTATTCCATTACATGGCTGTAGCATCGTCCATTTAGTCATTCACCTGTTAAAGTGCATCTGAGTTGTTTTCAGCTTTGGGTTATCACACAGAAATCTGCTATGGACATGAGTGTACAGGTTTTTGTGTGAACGTAAGTTCTGATTTCTCTAGGGTGTGTATGTAGGTATGTAAAAGTGGGATTACTTGGCTGTACAGTGTGTGTGTGTTGAACTTTATGAGGAACTGCCAAACCATTTTCCCGAGTGGCTGCACCATTTTGCACTCCCGCCAGCAATATAGGAGAGCTCCCGTTGTTCACCACATCCTCACCAGCACTTGGCATTACCAGTACTTTTAACTTCAGCCATTTTAATAGGTGTGTAACAGTATCTCACCATGGACTTAATCTGCATTTCTCTAATTGGCTAATGATGTTGAACACCTTTGTCACCCTTATGTCCTCTTTGGTGAAGTGCCTGTTCTAGTCCTTTGCCAACTTTTAATTGAGTTGTGTTTTTTATTGCTGAGTTTTGAGATTCCTTTATTTAAAGAAGCAATTTATTGTGATGGTAAGAGGAGCTGAGAACAAAAGAGGGAAAATAGAAGAGACTGTCTTTCCACTGTCTGAAGGGTTGGGGAGAGAAAAAGGGAAAAATACAAGCTGAGAAAGAACTGAAGGTATTTTATACTCTCCTCCCATACCTTTCCTGGAAAATAATCGTACTTACTGCTTCATAATCCGCCAGTTCCAGCCTTGCTTTATTCTGCATTGTCCTCTTACAGAGGTAGATGGCTGAAGGAAGAAGAGAAATTACAACATATACAAAACCAGCAGGGTGGTGGAATCGTAAATTCATCCACCCAGTTGTTCATCCACTCATCCAGCCAGCCATCCATCCAGCCAGCCAGCCATCCATCCATCCAGCCAGCCAGCCAGCCAGCCATTCCCCTCTATGTGCCCAACCCTGTGCAGTCAAGAATACGTTTCTGGGCTTCCCTGGTGGCGCAGTGGTTGAGATTCTGCCTGTCGATGCAGGGGACGCGGGTTCGTGCCCCGGTCCGGGAAGATCCCACATGCCGCGGAGCGGCTGGGCCCGTGAGCCATGGCCGCTGAGCCTGCGCGTCCGGAGCCTGTGCTCCGTGACGGGAGAGGCCACAACAGTGAGAGGCCCGCGTACCGCAAAAAAAAAAAAAAAAAAGAATAGGTTTCTATGTGGAAGCCATGACACCTGACCTCTGGGAATCTGTCAGATGAGGGCCCCCATCTTCCAATCCTGACAACCCCCTTCATCCTCCTCACTCTGTTTCACCCCAAGCAGGGCAGAGGCTGTGTCCTGCTCAGCACGAACCCCTGCACCTGGCACCAGGGCCTGGCCTGCCAGGTAGAATGAGTGGACAGTGGAAAGGGAGGACAATTTAGGTGTCTCTTCCCAGGCTCAGGAAGGGCTCTTAGCCCTCAGTTGCCAGGATATTCTTCCTCAAACATGGCCTTCATCACTTCCTCTCCTACCTCTGCTTCTTCGGTATCTCCTTCCTTCTCTAGTGCCAAGTAGAACGAGCCAGGGGAGATAACAGGTGAATGGTAGGAATGAACAATAGAATGACCAGGAGGCAAGGTCAGAGAGGACCAGGGCTGACCTGCTGTTTGACAACTTAATTATACCAGGAACTCTAGTCAACTCCTTGCTGGGTTAACCGACCTCCTCCATGTGGTCTGAAAAATTTCCTGATGCAGCCTACGATATGCTGGAGCCTTCTGGTAGCAGCCTACTCTGTATGCCCACACCTCTGCTCACACAGTCGAGTCTGTGGGTGAGAGTCAATTGTGTTTGTTCTCAAACCTGCTTATGTTAGGCATACTTGTTATTTTAATAATGTACATTCACTTAGTATTACACGCACTAGTGAAATTAATGTGAAAAGAGAGAGCGTTGTTGTTTCTATGACGATCCAGTTGAATGGCTTTTGAATAACCTGAGAAAGGAGAGTCAGCTAAGACAATTGCTGATGAATTTGGTATAAGTGAGAGAACTGAAAAAAACGTGAAAAAATAGTAGAAATCTGAGCGGGGCCAACATACAGTTGCTTTAAAAATATTTTCAAAATTCTTGATGCACTTTAAAGATGTCAAAACTGGGTGGTTTAAGTGTGGCTTATTTAAGAAAGAAACTCAAATTATGGGCAACAATAATCAAAGAGAATCTTTCATCCTACCTCAAAAGGCTGTTGAATGAATGTTTCTTTGTACATTTTACATTAATTTGAGGTCATTAAAGTATGTATGTATCACTTTTTCATACCAACTCACCAACTTTTCCAATGAACTAAACAGCTACAGCTCTGCACTGTGTCAGATAAAGGGGTATCTTCTCTATTACGAGGTACCTCCTTTGTCACCAACTAGGCAGCCTGTGGAATCGGGGCAACCTGCAGCAGAAAGCCTGGCATGTCACCAGCCCCAGCAGACCTGGTCCCAATGACCCAGGAGAGGTGGAGGTCAGCGTGGGTCGCAGCTGCTTTGACGACACTGCCTCAGACAGTATTTTGTATTGGCCAAATGTGAAACTCAGGAAAGTGTAACCCAGATTTGGTTCTTATTTAAGCAGAATCATCCCAAGAAATTTCCAACCCATCTGGGTCAAAATGGGCCAGCTAAGTTGAGAAGTAGAGTACCATGCGTGGAAGGCAAAGCCGGTACCTCTACTGATGACCACGAGCTACGTGATCAAATGCTGGTGGCCCCCTTCTTGTACAGCTAATGTCACACGTTGGGCAGTTGGTTCACCATAACCGGGAAGGCAGCAAGGAGCTATTGAGGGAAGCTTTCTCTTGGCACAGACCTTCCCTGGGGCTTGTCTGTCTGCACTTCCTTAGTGCCTCAACAGCGCTCCCTCTGACACCCAACTAATCACGTGACCACTGGCAACAAAGCCAAGTCCTCGAACAGGGCATCCAGGGGACTTGCTTTAAGCTCAGATGTTGGTTTTTCCTGGATGTGTAATTTCTCACTGAAAAATCTTTGTCTTCTTGCCCTCATGCTGGCATCTCATTGCCATCTCAATCTCACCAGCATCCTACCACGACAGAAACGGAACACAATTAAAAACTCTACAAAGTCAATAGATTCATGGGCTACATGTGCAATTAAACATTTACAAAGTATTGAACCTATCCTATGTCAATGACCTTAAAAAACTCACTCCCTTTCCAAGCTTTCTGTCTTTACTAGTGACATCGTAATTAACCTCAATCTCCTAAACTAGGGAACATATAAATCACTTATTTCTCCGTTGTCCTCATACCCTCTAACTCCTCCTTAGAACAATGGATTCTTAGCATTGGAAGTAACCTCGGCGACCATCAAGTACAGACACCTCATTAACAGATGGAAAAATTAAAGGCTCAGAGAAGGGAAGTGATTTACCCATGGACTAGTTAGTGGTAGAGGTGGAACTAGAATTGAGGTCTAGTTCAGAGGAATGTCTCCACTATGACATTCACTGCCCCATTTACTCATTCATTGATTCATTCATTCACCCATTTAAAAATCTGAGTGCCTCTTATGTGCCAAGTAGTATTTTAGGTCTGGGGAAGTCACCACAATAGCAGAGCAGCTACCACATGTAGGGACGTCAGGCAGTGTTCTAGGGACTTTCCAAACGTCCACTTATTTATCCTCGTAATAACCTATGAAGTGAGTTCTGTTATTAGCCTCATTTCATAGATGAGGGAATTTTGCAGGTTATTCCCCATTGCTGGGGACCCACAATGGCTCTCTAAAGTGCTGCATCTACTGTAAACGTCTCTCCTTGACTACGAAGACCTTTTAATAAACTTGCCCATTCCAAATTATCCAACCTTCGTAATCACTCTTCATCAACATAAAATCTCTTGTGTACTCAGATCAGACTCCTCACCATCCTCTTCTTGCCCCCATCACGCTGCCTCTCCCAGCCCGGGATGCTTGGAGGGTAAGCCTATAACTCACTCAAATCTGTGACAGAGCAACTGACACAGAGTGGGTGACCAGTACATGTTTGCTGAATGAGTGAAAGTTTCCTGGTTCTTCATCAATCCAAGCCATACCTATTCTGAACTCTTAGCTCTGGTGTCACATCCTTTCTGGCAGGAAGGCCACCACAGAACAAGTAAGATAGAACATCACGCTGGAGGTAATAATACCAACCACCACCATGGTTTTTATTGACTCCTTACTACATGCCATACACCTAAACTTATACCCATTTCTAATTAACAAAACAACACTGAGAGACACGTACCATTATTATTCTGGTTTTAATATGAGATTTCCAAGGCACAGAGAGGTTAAGTAACTTGCCAAGATCACACAGCTAGTGGAGCCAGTCAACAATGGGCCCATTGTGCTGACATCTCTCTTGGTAAATTCTGATTTGCTGGCTAAACTGGAAATGGCGATGAGTAATTTGCATCCTGCACTCTAAGTTCTCCATCCGATTTGCCAAAATGGATGTACAGGAATTCAAAATAATTTTGCTTTAGGGAGAGCCTGACGTTAATCGTTATTTTCATCCCTGTTCCTGCGGCACGACTAAAATTACAAAAATCTGTAGAGAAAGGGAAATTGTGCCCTGCTGTATGCAGGGTAAGACGGCTGATGGTTGTGGGTTTATATTCAAGTAAATATTTGAATCTTACTTGGCCCCAGTTTTCTGGTCCCACTATCCTCCCACGCTCTCCATTGCCTGAAAAAATACTGGTTTTCACATTCACAAGGGCACACGGCTGCTGCATGGAACTGAGCTACAATTATTCAAATTCCAAGTTGGGCTTTTGTGAGCAGTATTTCAGCCCCAGAAGCACTTATTTTATGAGCAGCTAAGTGCTGCTCCCGTTCTGAGCCAGAAACCTGGCTGGACCCATTTATCACATCATTTAGGGCACAGCACAGTTCCAGAGGGACCCGCACTGGTGCCTGCACACAGCTGATGAGACAGTCACAGGGACCTGTCCTCTGCATCAGGGCTGTGCTCCAGACTTGAAAACAGAACAACTGTAGCCTTGTAGGGCAATGACTTGCCAGGATTCTACCCTCAGGACTGTTCCCAATTGCCGGTTTCCCACCCCTCAGAAGTATAATCCGGAGGGTATAGCTTATCACAGGGTCTCAGGGACAGGTTCCCCAGAATACCACCCAGCTGCAGCTGGCTCTGCCTTCCTGTGAAAAGCATCCTGCAAAGAACCCACGGAGAAGGTGCAGGTCTCATCACGCGCACCAGTCCCAAGGAGAGCTGCTGTGGGCTGCCCCCAGCAGCTGAGTCGGTGATGAGGGCACTGTGCAGAGGGACAGAAGGAAACGAGCATCTGAGTTCAAATTCTGCTGTGTCTACTGAGTGTCTGTTAATCACCTTTAATAAAGAGTCAGAACGCTCAGCAAATATTTACCGAGTGCCAACTATGCCTCAGGCATGCACTGGGCACTGGATGATAAGAGAATGACCAGCCTGCCCTCATGGAGCTTACAATTGACCAGGCATCCAGACGAGTAGCATACAGTGTGAGAGGTATGAGGAGGGGGCCTCTCTGGACCTCAGCTTTATCTGAAGTATCGGGATAATGTAACTTTAGAAGACTGACACGTAGATGTGTTAAACAGTCTTCATGGAGAGAATATGGCAAGAGACTAATAGATCCCTGCCTGGACAGAGGTAATTCCCTGCTTACCCAGCTCCCAGCTTCACCCACTCTGTTTTCTTAGGTAGGGTAACTTTTGTATACCCCTTCCACGGTCTGTTACACTTTCCCTCTAATGTCCGACTATCAAAAACACCAATGAATTATTAAAAAGTCTTAACAAGTCTGTGAGAAAGGAAATGGACAGGGGGAGGTGGCACCTTGATCCAGCCCTCCCTGAAACCCTGTCCCAGGAAGGAGTGGTCAATAGCCCCCAGCACAGTTCTCCATGGCCCCACAGAATGAGCATTAGCCACACTTGATAGAACTTTTCTTCCCTTCCCCTATTCCCTTCCAATGCCTGCACCTTTCAGCGTGCACTGTCTTTCATCATTATGTGGAACAGGAACCTTAGTACATGTCAACAATATGAGAAAGGGTTAAGCAGGGCAAAGACCCTCCTCCTCACGCACCATGGTTGCCCAGACAGCAAGGATTTGCCTTCTGCATTCCCAGGAGTAACACTAAGTGTGGGCCGTGGCTTCAGTGCTTACCGTAGTCAGTGTTTTCAGGCTCCCAGCAGTTCGAAGGCCAGAAGTATGGGGCCTGCAAAAGAGCACAGGTGTCAGGACTCAGAACGCTAGCACTTGCCCTCCCCTGCACCCAGTAAGGACCCCTCCCTATGACAGGCTCTGTCCACGTGCTGACACCACACCCTAACTCTCTCCTGTTCTTAATGCAGCGGAGGCCAGTCAACATTTTAATCTAGGTGTTGAGAAATGAAACCTGAGGTAAGCCAAATAAATGCAAAAACGAGAAACAGTTTACAGGGCAAAACCTTCTTATCCCGAGGTAATAGAAGTCTAATACAGAAGTCAGACAAGCACTGTTTGCTGGGGCACAAGCCCCAAGTTCCTTTGTCCCTTTGCCAAGGACTGAATGGTGTCCTCCTAAATTTCTATGATGAAGCCTTAACCCCCGGTGTGACTGTATGTGAAGTAAGGAAGTAATTAAGGTTAAATGAGATCATAAGGGTGGGGCCCTGATCAGATAGGATTAGTGTCCCTATAAGAGGAAACATCAGAGAGCTAACAACCTCTCTCTCTCTCTCTCCACCCTGTGAGGACACAGTAAGAATCAACCATCTGAAAGCCAGGATGAAAGCTCTCCTCACAAACTGAACCCTACTTGAAAATCTTAGACTTCCAGCCGCCAGAACCGTGAGAAATACATTTCTGCTGTTTAAGTCACCCAGTCTGTGGTATTTTGTTATGGCAGCTGAGCAGACTTAGACATCCTTTGACCCTGTCTGAAGAACTCCACTCCTAAACCCTTAGGTTAGATCTTGACACAACCCCTTATCCTCTGCTCCAATTCACTGTGGGACAGGATCTGAGGAGTGGGAATGGCTGGGAAGTGTTAATAGGTAGTGAATAGAAACTTCACACCAGGAAGGCAGCATGATATAGTAGAAACATCAAGGACTCTGCTACCAGGCTGACCTAGGTTCAAATCAAGGCTGTCCCCTGGATTTACTCAATGCCCTGTTAATTCTCCAAGTACCTCAGTTTTACCACCTGTAAAATGGGAGACACTAATCCCCCCAAAGTTTGTTCTTCAGAATAACTGAGGAGATAATGTGTAAAGCACACAGTGAATAGTAGGTTCTCCATGAGGGATTTTTACTACTATGCGGGTAGGGCAACAAATGGCCCAGACAAAAGTTCGCTTGGTTGTCCCAGTGCTGGTGGGAGGTAAGGGTTGCTCCCTTAAATACTGTCAGTTTTTTAGGTAGTTCTAATCTGAGATCAGACAATGATGAGCAGAAAAGTTTCTTCAGGAGGACAAGCTGCATCCCTACCTGGAAACGATAAAAGGTGCCATCGTCCTTCATGGTGAGAACGTGGTCCGAGATTGGGAAGACGTAGCCCTGGGCAGCCACGAGGCTTCCCAAGTGTATTGCTTCAACTTCAGGGACAGGGCAGAAGACAGAGAAGTAATTAGGAAGCTGTCAGAATGCAGGGCTACTTAGCTGAAATGTAATTGGGGCGGGGTGGGGGGAGCAGAAAGGCAACCGGAAGTCAACTATCATCACCCCCAGATCACTGCATGATTGGCTGATTGATAGCTTCTGATAGGGCTGCACTGGGCCGGGGGGGGGGAGATGTCAATGGTTGGGGAGGGCCACATGTGTCTGGATCCCCTGGGTCCCAGCTCTGACATTGTTAATGTCCCTAAAGCTTCCAGAAGAAAGTCCACCTTCCCAGTTAAGACCATGGGCTTTGGTGTGGATAAGCCTGTATTTAATTAAATGAGATGCTTCACATAAAGTGCTTAGCAGTCTGGTGCAGGGTAAGTGCTCAGTAAGTGCTGGCAGCCCTGATTCATATTTTTAGTTTCATCCTTTCTTTTTTTTTAAGTCACCACCAGCAACGAGCACGCAGCCCATAGAGTCTTCGGACTCACACTGCATTTCCGGACATGACAGTCCCGCCAGCGATGAGGAGTGTGTTACCCTTCTTTTACGGACATAGAGGGAAAGCTCAGTATCTTAGAGAATTGGAGGATGGGCAGGCAGTGCAGTGGGCAGTAGCCCAGGGAGGCCAACCTAATAGAAATACTTATATTTTTGCCACAATCAACCTGTTGTTTTGTTACTTTAGCACCAGCCATAATATTCACCAGCCATAGATTCACATAAATGGTTCTTTAGCACCAGCCATAGATTCACATAAATGGTTACAAATTTCTATTTACTCTGAGCAGAGCTAAGAAAAAAGAAATCTAAATGGTTCTATCATACATGATAATCTTTCACAAATATAAAAGTACTCTAACTGATAAAAACTAATTTTTGGCTGTAGAAATTATTTGACACACTCAGGGAGACTCTAGGAATTATTAATTTCATAAGCTCTGAAGTTTTCAAAGTGACTTGTATTGGTTTTATTTGCAAACTCTTCAAGAGTCTTAGCAAATAATTAAACCTCAGTTGTGGATCAGGCAATGTAATTTTAAGAGCTGGCTCCAGAAGGCTGTTCAGTGACAATGCTACAACTTTCAAGAGGTTGTATATAATCCAGCCATTTTTCATATTTAGAACCTGCTCTTCTCCTCTGGAAGGAGCGTACACTTGTAACTGGGAGAATCAGAATGAATGGAATTGTATTTTACTTGCTTAGTGGTGACCAGTTGACTTTTGAAGTCTATATGCTTCAAGAACCATGGGTCCAGCAGAAAAGGGAAGTTTCATCACCTGCAACTGCTCCTTCTCCAGGGAAGGAAGAGTACAATCCAGTAAGAAGGGGACTTTCATGTCACCAATCTAGGAGCTAGAAGTCTCACTTCATTCTTCAAAAGACTTTCGCTTGGAGATGTGGCAGATGGGAAGGAAGAAGAGGTGTTGGATACCCACCTTCCCAGGGCTTTTGTTTGGCTCATTTCTGCTGGTGAATTGTTCTTAACTTCTCCTGCTCATCTACTTCTCAGAAGCCCAGACAGGTCCCAACACCTTCATGTCCTCCCAAGGGCATCAAAGTATAATAGACCGTCATAGATAAGACTCTTATCATTCGGGACCTTTCACAGAAGCTTCTCGTACCAGCACCAGTGGATTCCTGAAGCCTGTTCTACCACTAGGGGGTTCAGGGTTCTCTGAATATACCATTACTGCTGCTACTATCACCACTGATGATAACGATAAAATACTTGTCAGAAATAGGATGACTGTTGTAGAAGGGCAAAGAAAACAGTGCTCTTGGAAGAGAAGAGACCACCACGAAGAAGGGTGACTCTACATACATGTAAATGAACTGGTAGAGACTTATTCAGTCCAGTTTTCACAAGTGGACCATCAGAAGTCCAGGCTGTGTAAGGCAAACACGTAGGGTAGTTGATTTGGTTTTTTTTCCTTAAAAGGATTAGCATTCATAGTTTCCCCCCGAGGATTAAGAACTTGACTAGAATTAAGAATTTCCACTACTCATGAAAGTGGCCATTAATCATGATGGGGAAAAAGGCTAGTGTTCCGTTCATGACCTGCTTTTCTGGCACTCAGATTTCTGGCGCCTATGTTTAATTGAACTCTATGTAAGTTGTATTGTTTCATAGTCAATAGTCTATTAGGAGCATCAGATTAAAATATAGGAATGACCGAGCTGACATACTGACCCCGGCAAGGAATCACAGCTGAAGGTCAGACACCTAGAATGGGCACTTGAAAAAAATCTTTAAAAAGCATAGCAATTGAAGGGCATTCAATTTGAGGCAAATAGGTCTAATCCCCAAGAACATCAGAATACATTAGTGGATGTCTGTAAATATGACCTTCAGGCAGCAAGAATACTTAGTTAAGATGGGGAGTACATAATAAATTCAGAAAAGTTTTCTCATCTAGAATTTTCATTTTACTCTGGAACCCTGCATTTTCTAATTCTGCTATGAAAATAAATTTTACTGCTTATTTGCTGGTGGGAGGACAGATTTGGAAACCGTTTTACTGGCCAGGGTTTGCTGTTGCTTTCCTGGTGAGGTAATTGCATTGCACAATTAAAGTTGAAAAAAAAATCATTCCTTCACTTCTTGCAGAAGCAGAGAACAGAAGGAGTCTTAGCAAATAATTAAACCTCTTAATTGTGGATCAGGCAATCTAATTTTAAGAGCTGGCTCTAGAAGGCTGTTCCGTGACGACTGTGCTACAACTTATCTTTAATTGCTGTGGCTAACCAGAGTCCATCTCATCTCCCATGTTATTGTATTGGGCTCCCTGGCATTCTAAATAGTTGCTCATTTCCTCCAAGGGTGATTTAAATTTAAAGACAGGAATTCAGTGGAGAAAATAAATAATTCTATTTGTAAATAGAGGGATTCTACATCTTGGAATTCACGTGTATAAGCCCAGTTCTCAGGAGGGCAGGAGAATCTGGTTTGGAATTTGGTTGTGGGTTGGTCACTAATATCATGGGGGTAAAGTCAGGGTCAAGGGTCAGGTACCTGGGTCCTCAATGGAGAGGTTCTTCATAAGCCACTGCACAATGTCAGTACCTGCAAGGATAAAGCAATGTCAACTGAAGACCTCATGGATGTTTAACTCTGTGCCAGAAGAAACATGGTTACCCAAGAGACTCCTAATTCCAATTAGCACACACCTGGAGAGCTAGGTAATATTGACACTTTTCCATCCTAACCAACCCATTCCATCCATTAGTATGCTTCTGTAGTCACAGTCCCATTATTTCCCCCCCAAAGTCCACTTCTGATGACTCAGGATGGTCTTGTATCCACATTTCCCTAGGGCGCTTCTGGAGGGGCCTTCCTGAGAATACATATTTTGATGACAGGCTAGAGGAAGTCTTATCACGCCTGGCCCCAGACCATTTCCTGAGGGAGGAGGCTCCTTTTATCGCACTATCCTCAACTGACGAGGCCTGCCCAACACAGATGACCTCACAGGTTCCTGAAAAAAATCTCTAATTTCCTCTGGCCTGGGCTCATCCGGAATGAATAAGCCCCTGTGTCTGTGGGAGAAACTGCTATGTGTTCGCCAAAACCTCTCTCCTCTATCCCCTGGGCCACAGCTAGATTACATTTCTAGACTCTCCTGCAGCTGGGTATGCACTGAGTTCTGACAATGGAATGTGAGTGGAAACGCCATAAGCAATTTCCAGACTCAGACCATAAAACTCCTGTGTGACCCTCCACACGCCACACCATTCATCTCCATCTGCTGGCTGAATGGAGAGAACTCCAGGGGCCATGGGGAGGGCAGAGCCATGTGTGGAAGGAGCCTGGGATCCTGAACAGACATGAAGATTGAGGCCCATTTGGGTGACCTGATTGAAAAATAAACTTGGTCATGGTGAGCCCCGGATATTTGAGGGTTATCTGTTTTGGCATCTAGTAATGCCTTAACTAACATAAAATCTTAAGAATCAGAAGGGACTTTTAAAGCTTATCTACTCCAACCCTAGCCAATACACAAGCCCCATCCACGACACCCTGGACAAGAGGTGCTGTAATTTCCATTTGGAAAAACCCTAGTGCCTGGAAACTCACAAATTTCCTGTTGGCCAACCTGTCCCAGTTAAATCATCTTCGATTTCTCTCAACAGAAATTTGCCCTTCTCTGAATTCCTCTCTGTGGTCTTAGTTTTGCCCTCTGATGACAGAAAAACGAACTCAGACCTCTCACTCTGTGAGACAATCCTTCAACTATTTGGACAGTCCGTCCAACGTATTATCAATGTTCTCCTTGAGTTTCCTCCCCTCCAGGTGAAACATGCCTGGATTCCTCAGCTGTTTCTTCTGATGACATGATCTGGGTCCCTCCTCATTTTGTTCACAATTCTCAGAATATATTTGCTTTTGTTTGCCTTCCTTTAAATGTGGCACCTAGAACCAGTGTTCTTAGGCCAGTGCAGTTCATGTGTGGGTAGAGGAGCCCAATTTTCTGGGAGGTTCTGAACTTCTGTGCAATCTACCTTTGTCACCCCAAAATCTCACTTTAAGCCAGTTCAGATCTTCGAAGGTGGCTTTGTCACCTCAGGATGAAACGTTTGATGGAAAACAGCCTGAAAAGGGCAGCATTTCTAGATATCCGAGTCTTGTCATGGGTCTGAGGCATGGCGTGAGGGAGAGGGAGTGCCAGAAGCTCTCCTGGGATGGACTCCCAGCGAAAACACTGGAAACCCCAGCAGAGGGGTTGAACGAGTATTGCCCTTTTTCCAGGATTAAAATTGCTCAGAAATTTGACTGGGGTTCAGAAGTGAGACCAGTACAGGCCTGAGTACCTAGACATTTTGTTTCTCTCTGGCTCTCTGGAAGGTGAATGAACCCCGCACAGTAGACTGTCCTGCCCTTTCTGTGCTGTCCCCCAATCCCAGGACTAGCCTCCACTGACATGGCCCTGCAAGTCCCCTGCATTTCAACCTCAAAAGCAAGACTTCTAAGCATTTCCCCACTCCTTCTCCCAGATGGCGTCTATGAACTAAACTTTGGATCAAAAACACTCCTTTTCATTCACATTCTTAGAGAGAAAAGGAGAGTATGTTTCCGTGTGTATGTGTGTGTGTGTGTGTGTGTGTGTGTGTGTGTCCACTTCCTCCAAATTATACAAGTTCAACATTTGTCCTAGGAAATGAAGAACAAAGCAGAAATCAAATACAAACTGTAAATCCAAGTTGGGGGTTGGGGGGAGAGACTCTAACCTGTTTTTCCCTCAAAAGAAAAACAGTCCTTTTTTTTGTGGGTTGCCTAGAAACGGAGAGGTTTCCAGCATCAGCAACAGCTCTCCCCCGGGCAAGAGGATTATCTTTCTGCTGAGCTTGCTGCACCATTATTTATCACCTGCCAAGATTGATTAGTCACCCTGGGACAATGACAGCCCTTCCTTTCCCCTGTTAATTACTGTCATCATTAATATCCATGTCACTAATTAGTATTCATTCACATTGAAACTCCTTCCTTGCTATCATATCCGCTCCCCCCTCCACCTCACCCCAGCCTTTGGTACCATTGTCTGGGTTTCTACCCCCTTTGGCTTTCTGCACTCATGTCCGGCCTAATTGTTCTTCCCAGTCCCCCAGGCTCCAGTTTGCATTCACAGAGCCGAAGATCACATGTAAGCATTTTTTTGGTAAAGAAGTGAAAGTCACAAAAGCTCCTGGCCTTCTCCCCTAGCACTGCGGGAACCACAGACCTGGGTTTCCTGTCGCTGGTGTAGCCACCATGACAGTCACTGTCTCATCTGGGGACGCGTGTAACCGTCCTCAGGCCCTAGTGGGGCTGGGCTGCTGCCCTTGGCTGTCCAGGCCACTGTCTTCAGTCTGTAGCAGCACCCACGCCACCGCCATCCCTGACACGCATGGGCACTGCTTGGGGGACCTGAGCACACACAACGATGTCTGGGGCTGTGGACAGTCTCATTCTCGTGGGCGTGGGGTATTTTAGGCTTCATTGGACTAATCCAGGAAGGGCCAGCCTCAGCCTTGTGAGCAGGCAGTAAACCGTTGCAGGTTCAGCCTCAGGAACAAGTAAGGAAGGGAAATCTGTCATAATATTATGTCCTTTATAAGACCTACAATTATTACACTGTAGAACCAGGCAAGAATAGTCCAAATAACAATCAGGAGAAAACTTTTTTTTTTTTTTTTTGTGGCACGCGGGCCTCTCACTGTTGTGGCCTCTCCCGCTGTGGAGCACAGGCTCTGGACGCGCAGGCTCAGCGGCCATGGCTCATGGGCCCAGCTGCTCCGCGGCATCTGGGATCTTCCCGGACCCGGGCATGAACCCGTGTCCCCTGCATCGGCAGGTGGACTCTCAACCACTGCGCCACCAGGGAAGCCCAGGAGAAAACATTTTTATTCTTCTCTTTTCTCTTTCCTCTCTTCCTTCTTTCCTCCTTCTCCCAATCATTCTTTCCTTCTTATTCTAATAAGAATTTGCAGCAGACTTTTTTTTTCTGTTCTATCTAAAACTGATTGTTGCCTTTTGTTACTACTATTGGATTCTGGTTCTTATCTTTGCCAAGCTGCCCTGCCTGCCAAGGACTTAAAGCCAGTATAGAAACATTAAGAACAAGTGCACGATAGCTGCTCTTTATTCCCAAAGATCCCAAAACATTTGGCTGAAAGTTTTCTTTTTGAGGCTAATTTATCAACATTTATACTAGGAATATCCATGAAATACACCAGAGGGCACCTGAAACACTTCTTCACAACCTGCATGGATGGTTAATATAGTTCAGTATATATTTATTATATGCAGGTATGCTTTATGTTTCTGTATGTGTTGTAAGCCCGTATTTCAATGATGTCTTACATATGTATATAATTATGTTTATTGGCAGGGCCTTTGGACACAACTTGGGGATTCAGTACATAAATTATGGCTCATCCATACAACAAATATTTATTGAACACCTACCACATTAAATGAAAAAGCATATTGAGAACAGTGTATATCGTAAAATGACATTTTTACAATAGAAAATATATATTTATATTTGTATATAGATATATACAAATGTGGAGGAGAAAAGTTCTGGAAGTATATTTATTTATTTATTTGTTTTATTTATTTATTTCTGGCTGCATTGGGTCTTTGTTGCTGTGTGTGGGCTTTCTCTAGTTGTGGTGAACGGGGGCTACTCTTCGTTGCAGTCTGCGGGCTTCTCATTACGGTAGCTTCTCTTGTTGCGGAGCACGGGCTCTAGGTGCGCGGGCTTCAGTAATTGTGGCTCATGGGCCCTAGAGCACAGGATCAGTAATTGTGGCGCATGGGCTTAGTTGCTCCGCGGCATGTGGGATCTTCCCGGACCAGGGCTCGAACCCATGTCCCTTGCATGGGCAGGCGTATTCTTAACCACTGTGCCACCAGGGAAGCCCTGGAAGTATATTTAAACTGTTAAATTTAGGTTATCTTGGGGAGAGGCAAGGGTCAAATTATGGGAAATTTCTGTTCTTTACATTTCCTTATTATTTGGAGTTCATAGAACATTCACATATTACTTTTGCACTGAGAAAAATCCCTTTTTGTTAAGGAGAAGAGAGGGAAGAATTGGCCTCTGAGCCTGAAGTGGTGCGAACGTGGAGAGTCAGGGCTACGGACCCAAGTAGAGAGGGTATATGGAGCACAGCCTTCTGCTGCCCCAGGCCCTGTGCTCTCGCTCCACTCTGGGGAAAGGGCAGAGGGATGAAGTCAGGACTCGCAAAGCTGTCTTCCCTCCTGAGGAGTACAGAGCAGGCGGCTTGGTCATGGGCCTCAAACTGGTCACCGTCTGGCCATCTGGCTGGCTCTGAGCCTCGGAGTGGCCTTCTGTAGACTCTAATAGGGCTGTTCACCACAGTCCTGGACAAAGGGTGACCCCCAGCACCGCTCCCTGGGGTTTGCTTACTTGTTTACTTGGGTAGAGTGAGACTCAGTGACCTCTTCCCAAGTTGTATTAACTCTAGATCAATATAAACTGGATTTGAGTAAGCTGGTAAGATCTTCTGAGATTTTAGAAAGTTCTTTCTGGCTTGGGGGAGACCCTTACTATAAAAGTG